TTTATTAGACTTTAGGTTTATTTCTTATGTATTTGATTATAAAATGAGTTTGAATATTATGGTTCTATTAAGAATATCTATAGTTTTCATTTTTTCGGTACTATTTTTGTTATATAAAACTTAATTTAATTTTATGATCTGATAAATGATTTTTTTTGTTGTTTTATCTCAGTAGCAGCATGAGCTCTAGGATTTCAGGGACCTTCCGAGTTGTGTTGTGTTGTTGCGGACTACCGACTCCCTTACTCACGTCACGCCAGCCTCATAGCAGTAGGAGACGGTTCTACGATTGTAAGAGTGGTGTTTCAGCATGATACAGTTTCTTCCATTGGGCAGACATTCTGACATACTCCCCTGCCGACAGTGATCGTGGTACGATGGTTTCCCATAAGGACAGTGCCGCTGAGGACAGTAGGAGACGGTTCTAAGGTTGTAAGAGTGGTGTTTCAGCATGATACAGTTTCTTCCATTGGGCAGACATTCTGACATACTCCCCTGCCGACAGTGATCGTGGTACGATGGTTTCCCATAAGGACAGTGCCGCTGAGGACAGACGGCGTCAGAGTTTTAAATTGAACATTTTAATATTTTTACTTTTACTTGTAATTGTATTTATCCTTATTTTATTTTTTTTATACTCACGAAATAGTGAGTACTGTATTTTATTTTTAAAAACTAATTTGTAACAGTTTGAGGCTTTTTTTCTATCTATTATTTTTCCCATACAGTTCTGTTGCAAATAACTTTACCAAACTGGGACAAAATGGTCATTTATCCAACAACAGCTGTCAGTAAGTATTCTGAATAAGCTGCCCCAAACAACAAGCCAGGTTACTTTGATAATCTGCAGATTATCAGATTATCAGAATAATCCGTTTATCAGCATATTATAAATAATCTACAGCTACCCCAAACAGACCCTAAACTTATTATGCTTTGTTCATAAAAATCATCCTTAAAACCTCTAGGGACCCACCAAGTTATGAATTGTGCCAAGTTATGAATTGTGTTATGAATTGTGGTTTCTTTTGAATTTAAATCATTAAGGCTTCACTACTACTTAACAGTTGTTATTACTTTCCACTTTAAAATATATGCATGATTATAAACGCTAACATTTCAACGAAGGCAGCGAGAAAAGGCCAGGTATGCATTTACATTTTATTTACTGCAATCTTTTCTTTACTTTACCATATTTATTGTCCATATTTGTTTAATTTGCATGCAAAATTGAAATTAAAACAAATTGAAAGAAAAAACAAAAACAACAAAAGAAAATAAAATCACACCTTTAAAATTAAACAACACTTTCAAAACAATGCATAAACATAATACGTCCTTTTGAATTTACGGGAGTCCCGGATGAGGAAACCTACAATCACTAACAAGGTCTCCCCGCTTAAATGAACTTAACAACTTGTTTAGGATAAATAAATTTAAAAGAAAATAGTGATACCAGAATAAGGGAATCGTGGGATCCTAACTGGTGTCGCTCAAAAAACTTTTAACCCCCCCCCCCCCCAAACTAACAATAAACAACACTTGAACAATAACAAGACTTAATAGGGAAACTACAAAACCTTAAACTTGAAGACCCCAGAGCTAGTGCAACAAAGAGCTCGGAGCAGGATGCAATTGAACAGATGACGATCTACAACAACACAATGAGTCTACTGCAGTAAATCTTTCTTTAGAATTAAATAACAAGTCATAGGACTTCGAGGTAGTCCGTCCAGTACGGCATAAATCCTCAATTTATCTTTAGGCCTTTGCACAATCATATTGTGCAATTTAGGCCGTAACTCGCTTTAGGCTCCAAGGTCATCGTTCGTTAAGACATAAAACATCTTATCTTCCAAGCTATTTGTATGACTGTGTCATGCAAGTGTAAACTCTAAATACTAAAACTGGCAGGATGAAATATCAAATAACACTTTCTCAAAATTGAAGCTAAATAGTAGGATAGTTTGAGAAGACACCGAGGTGCCCCCCAGATCCGTGACCTCTCCTACCTCTCATTCCTTTGGATTCATGAAAACAATTGTTCTCACTTATTTCATTCCCTTTTGAACTTCCAATCTTCAATCTTGAAAACCTTAAACTTTGAAATTCTTGAAAGCAAAACAAATGATCTGAATCGAGAGTACTTATAAGCGACCTCGGTTATTTAAGATGTAATTAACTATAGAGGTTTGCCTCTATAGGGAACTTTGGAAGTCAGTTTAATATAAATTCTATCTAATCTTTCATATTAGATAGGGGAATTTGTCGGTTAACATAAAAAGTTTTGTAGACCAAAACAGATGTCATAAATATTTTAGTTTATTTAATCGAGCATAAATATCAAGCAATAGATCTATTCCTCGGGATAAGAGTCATCTAAACTATCAAATATGTGAGGTTTGCTCGGTCTCACTTTTCTAAAACTAACATAATATTATTTTCTAAACTTATAGTTAGATATATATATATATATAATTAAATTTAAATTTCCAAACAAATTGGCGGCCGACACACGTGTTGAGAAGGTCAACCCAAACTTCCCTACCTTTAAACAACTTAAGGAGTATGCCAACTCATCTATCGAAGAAATCTACATGAGCATAAACTAACCATCTATATAAACATGCGTCTTTGAACTGCGATCTACCATAATTTAGATAGTTCAAAACAATCAGTTTGGGGGACTTTCCACTAAAAACCCTAACCTTCAGTTAGTCAATTTTCTTGAACTATGTGCCACCTGAGACTAATTTCATTTTCTGTGAGGGATAAAGCTAACGAATGGCTTAACTCCCTTGCCCCAAGATCAATCATAACCTGGAATGACTTGGAATAAAAATTTCTAGCCAGATATTTTCCACCATTCAAAACTACAAAGCTTAAGATTGACATTACCTCATTCACTCAAATCGATGGAGAGTCCATTTACGAGGCCTGGGAGAGGTTCAAAGAATTACTTTGGAGGTGCCCACATCATAACCTACCTGATTGGCTAATCATTCAATTATTTTACAATGGATTGATAGGTTTCCTAAGATCCATAATAGAAGTTGTTGCAGGAGGATCCCTCATATATAAACCTTTTGATTAAGCTTACTAATTAATAGATAAAATAACTACCAATAATTTTCAATGGTTCGTTGAAAAAGTTGCAACCTCAGAAGGTAGCTAGTGTTTATGAATTTGTTGTCTTAGCTATCTTAGCAACCCAAGTAGCTACAATTTCTAAAAAAATTAGACAATTTGGGGATGAATCTAATGTATGGAGTGCCACCCAATGAAGCAAACAAGATAACGGTTCCACTACCTTGATCATTCTTCTACTTCCTAATCAGAGAATGAAACATTTTCGTTGTCATCTTCTACACTGGAAATGAAAGAAGTTTTGAAGTTTGTAGGGTTAGGGATGCGGGTGGATATAAACCCTTTCCAGTTCATTGGAGGTGAGATGAGAACCGAAGGATAACAGGAGGAAGGTATGGGGGAAAAGGAGTGGTCCATGAAGTGTTAAGTGGCAAAGCCCCAAAGAATGGAGGCTGGAGAGGGTGAATCAGTGGTTGAGGCGGTTAGAGTTATGCATGAAGACGAAGGCGAAAATAAGAAGAAAAAACATTAACACAGAAAAAGGAACCCAGCACATTAAAAAAATCCATCTTGCTAGCCTGAACAAACTTCACTCAATGATTTTTACCTTTATGTGCTTCTTTAAAAAAACCTCACCATTCGGTCCATGCAACTTTTTTTTTTCAATTTTTTTCTCATTTTATTAATTTTCTCTATACGTATAATCACATTTTGAGTCAAACAACATGATACTCTCTGAACATTGTTGAAAATTTGAGTTGTTTAGTTGGATGTATTCTGAGGGTAGAGTTAACCAAAATGCAAGTCTTAAAAATATGACATTTGGTTGGATGATAATCGGACAGGGAAAGATTCACTTTATAGTTCAAAACTATTGCATTCCAAATTCGTTGGATTTTGGTAATTTTAAATACACTATAAACTTTTACCCATCATTATGGCCCACGACCACTGCCCGCCGCCGCCTCCTATTGCTTGCCACCGATCGTTCCCGCCGCCGCCTCCTATTGCTTGCCACTGATCGTTCCCGCTCGCTATCAACCGCCTCCTGGCACTCCATGCATGTCACTTACAACTAAACTCACCTACCATCGGGCCCTACCACTACTACCAACTACTGCCCACCACCACCACCACCAATAGCCAATCGTCGGACATCAATACCAACTAATATTTGCAGCCACCTCACGCCCACCGCCCTTTGCTCATCGGTTGCCACAACCACACTATCAATTGGTTGTCGCGAACACCAAACTGCTAATCACCACCACTAACCACCGCACTTGTTGCTTGCCGCCTCCTAGTCGCTCATCATTCGTCACCCGTCGTTGTTGCTTCCCATACACCGCCCTCGTTGCCTCTTGTCGTATGGCGGCCCTCATTGCCGCTACCAATACGCCGCCTCTCATTGCCGCTACCAATACGCCGCCTCTCATTGTCACTCACTGTATGCCGCCAACCCATGATTGTTACCTGCTGCTGGCAACAGCTATGGAGCATTTTACATTAATTTTATTTCTCTTCAAACTAAACACAACCATAAACTCCTATAGTTTTTTATGTCAAACCACATCTTTAAAATATTTCAAACACACTACATATCAATTACACTCCATATCTCTTTCAACAAATTAGATAGCTCTAGGAGAAAACACGCAGGCAAATAATCACAAGCAATAACTCTTAAGAAGGCAAGACTATATCGAAAATTAGTTGGTGAGCCGAACATAAGCAAGAAAGTGGCATTGTACAAAGTCAAAACAACAATTTCCTCGTTGTGCCTCAATGAACTCCAGAGCTTTACAAGTGCAGCCTGCTTAAACTCCACTGGTCTAAAACAAACTAGCTCACGATAAATAGATAAAATTAGACTTTTCAACAACAAAGTCGCATGCATTTAGAGAGACAGAAAATAAATATGCATGATACTGATTAAAAATAAAGTCAATTTAATTCCCCTATACTTTGTAGATCCTTAAAATTAGTTTACAAGATGAGGACTATAGCTCTTGAACGGAAGCACACAAGAATATGTGATGTATTTGACACTATCAAGAAGTATAACTACAAAAATACGTTGAAGTGATTTGTTGGGTGATATTTTTCCCTCCCCATCACCGTCACCATCACTAACTTCTCTAGGATCAATCAAGACAGAGACAACCATGGGAGGACCAGAGGCATTACTCTGAAAGTTGCTGCCTTCGGGTCCTTTCCCTATGCGTTTAGTGTGGTTACCTGTAGATCCAGGGAGTGGAATAGCTCGAGGATAGAAAAATTTTCGGTTCTTTATCACTCTTTGAGGTGCAGATGATGAAGTGCTGCCCGTACTTGAATTGGCAACCGCAGTTTTTGTTGCATTAATTATTGAAGAAGTGATGACTGCACTAGGACTAGCAGATGAAGGGGAGATTTGAAACTGGAACACTTCAGTGCATGTGCCAGAACTGAATATTGGGCCTGACAAAAATACAAATTTATCGTATTAGAGATAAGAAATGTAAAGTAAAATTCTTTTTTGTGATGTCAGAAGAAATTTGAGTCAGCAAGCCAAAATTATTACATAAATTAATAGGAATGCAGGCTAAAAGGAACGGATTCAGGAACTGAACGAAGAATATAATTACAGACTGCAAGAGATCCAACGAATGTATGTCATTACCTATTGCTTGATAACACATCGTATGACGACAGTTCACGGAATTTATTGACATGAGAGTGTCATTCAATTCAAATAAAATATACAATGTCTTTAGTGTGTTTAACTACCGTGGAACATAACCTTTGTTATGTGTTCAACCTGATAATAGAAGGGAAATGAAACCCGGCGCCTGATTGGGCGCCCAGGTGCCTCGTGTGGCACCTAGGCACACAGCATACCCTTCTGGAACAGGGAGCCTAGAAACCAGGCGCTTGGAGTGGCGTCCAGATGCTCCGTAAGACGTTTCTTGAATCAGAGAATGGGAAAATGCGGCGCCAAAGAGGGGCGAAGCCCAAAGCATTTCCTGGACCCAAGTGCCTAAAAACCCAACGCTCGGGACTAGCGCTCCGGCTATTTTAGTCTTCGGCTTAGCTGCGGTTGGCATGTGCAAGCTGAAGTTGGATTTCACAAGTTACTTCGTGAGGAAGATAGAAAGGTGTGTTCGTGAATTCCACAAGTATAGACAGGTTTGAGTGTGGTGCTCTCTACATTCTCCTATTTTCTAAATAATAAATTTCTTAGTGTAGTGACTCCGCGATTTTTTTCTCGTTCTTGATTTTTTCCACATTACATCTTGGTGTTCTCTGTTTTTTTTGTGTTTAATTATCTAAGTTTTCTTCGGACCTATCAAACCAATTTCCGTGAATTCCTCATGCAAGTGGTATTAGAGCAAGTTTTCTGAAGATCTTTCATTAGAGTGGTAGTTCAGTGGCCGACAAAGCGAGGTAAACGGTAGAGAAGTTAAACAGTCGATCTTTGTTTTCTGGAAAATGCAAATCAAAGATTTCATATATCAAAAGAAACTACATTTTCACTAGAAGGAATTACCAAGAAGTTTAAATCGATGAGCTGGAAGAATGGGAAGTGCTTGATAAAATAGCTCTAGATTTGATCCAACTTTCACTTTCCTCAACTATTACTTTCAATGTGGTGAATGAGAAGACTACGATGGATCACAAGACTGCACTAACAAAGATGTATGAAAAGCCCTCGACTCCAAAAAGATATTTTCTGACAAAGAGATTTTTCAATATAAAAATGGTAGATGATAGTTCAGTGGTTGATCATTTGAATAACTTTAATACTGTGACTAATCAGTTGTGTTTTATTAACATCAAGTTCGATGATGAGGTCAGGGCACAATTACTCTTATATTCATTATCAGACAATTAAGATAGAATAATGATTAAGATAGAATAATCATTGTAGTAACTTTTTAGATAACATAAAGCTAAACTTTGATGACATTGTAAGATTAGTGTTGATGAAGTCCACAAAAAGGTGAACGGTGAAACCTCATGTTTTATTTTCAATGTTGAAAAAAAGAGAAAGGAATCTGATAAAAATATAGGAAGAGAAAGATTCAAATTCAGGAGAAAAAAATTCAGGTCGGGGAGAGGAAATGACAGAGGTGAATGCTGAAACTGCGGAAAAAAAATCACTTCAAGAAGTACTGTAAGCTGCAAAGGTTGGTGTTGGAGGTCAAGATATAAAACTCTCTACAGATGTCACTACAAATGAAATCCAAGATGACTCTCTTGTTTTGTTCCTATATATACTATTGACTCTTGGTAATTCAGGTGCCAGTTTTCGTGCATGACCCAAAAAAAAGAAAACAATTTATGGAATGTGTATTTGGAAAATAACAATGTCTATAGTATTATTAGAAATAGTGATGTTAATATTATGTTGTCTAATGGAATAATCTGAAAGCTTAATGAACTGAGACATATTCCATGTTTGAAGTGGAATTTAATTATTATGAACCAATTTACAATGTTAGGGTATGCGACTACTTTCATAAGTAATTCATGGAAGGTGACTAGAGGTGTAATGGTAATGGTCTGTGATAACATTGAATGCACTCTTTACATGATCAATGAGATAAGAATCCATTATTGTAACTAGAACAAATGTCGATGTAGGTATTTGCCAACGCGGGTTTGGCCATATGAGTAAGAAAGACATAAAATCTCTCATTTCTAAGAACAAACTTCAGGGTTTAAAATCTATAGATATAAATTTTTGTGAATATTGTATTTCTGGCAAGCAAAAGAAAGTTACTTTCTCCAAAAGTGAGTCAAAGATGAAGTCTAAAAAGTTGAAGTTAGTGCATATTAATGTATAGGGTACTACTCAAGTTTAGTCCATTAGATATTCTTTTTGCTTTATCACTTTCATTAATGATCAGAGCAAAAATTTATGGGTGTACTTAAAATACAAATTTGATGTGTTTGAAGTATTCAAGAAGTGGAAGATCGTGATTGAGAATGAGATAGGTTTGAGATGATCAGATAATGATGATGGGTATTGTGATCTGAGGTTCGGGAGTTCTTGTGTTTCAGAAGAAATCAAACATGTGTTCATTGTTCGAAGGTCACCAAACCAAAATGATGTGGCTGAGAGCATGAATAGAACCATCACAGAGCGTATCAAGAGCATAAGACTGCATGCAGGCTTGCCAAAGTAGTTTTGGGCAGAAGCAAAGAATACCGTGATTTATCTGATCAATCGTGGCTCGATAGTACCTTTGAATGAAAGCTTACCTGCAGAAGCCTAGAGTGACAATGAGATAAATCCATCTTAGCTGAGCATTTGATTGTTTACCATATGTTAATGTTAAGGCAAGATCCAAGAGTAAGCTTAATTCAAAATCTTTCAAGTGCACTTCCATTAGGTATGACTGATACATTTGGGTATAGATTATGGGACTATCATAATCAAAAAATTGTTTGGAGCAGGGATGTAATTTCAATGAAATGGGGATGTATAAGGACAAGAACATAACTCAGAATTATCCATCAGTTACTTCTAAAAAGTCCTCTAAATTTGTTGAGATAAAAGGAAATGTGATCAATAAGATGAATAGAAAAGTGTTTAATCTGATGAAGCACAAAAAGTTCTTCAGACACCTGCTAAAGAAGTCAGGAGATTCGACAAAATCACGCGACCAATGACAAGATAATTTTCTTCTTTGTACAATTTATTGCTCACTAATGGTGGTGAATGAGAATGTTATGAAGATGCCACTCAAGTTAAAAACTCAAAAGAGTGAAAGTTTGTCACGGATAACGAGATGCGATCACTAAGATCAAATCAAACATGACATTTGGCAGAATTACAAGATGATAAAAAGGCACTACATAACAAGTAGATTTACATGCTAAAAGAAGAGTCGAATGACAACAAGTGTTATAAGGCAAAGCTTGTTGTGAAGGAGTTGCAGCAAAAGGAAGAAATTGGCTACTTGGAGATATTTTCTCATGTGGTAAAGATTATAACTATCAGAGTTTTACTGAGCTTTGTAGCAGCGAAAGATCTACATCTGGAAAAAATGAATGTGAATACAACCTTCCAACATAGTGACTTAGAAAAGGAAATGTATGTGGTGTAGCCGAAGTAATATGAAGTTCTAGAAAAAGAAGACACTATCTACAAACTAGAAAAAAAAAACTTTATAGTTTGAAACAGGCCTAAAGACAATGGTACTGGAGAATTGACAGGTTTATGTCAGAAATGAACAAATGAAGTGTTAAAATGATTATTGTTGCTTCATAAAAAATTTTGATAATTGCTATATTGTGCATCTTTTACAAGTGGATGACATGTTGATTGTAAACGAAATATGAAAAAAATTATAGAATTGAAGGAGCAATTATCAAAGGAGTTTGAAATGAAGAAATTTGGTCAAACTAAAAATATCATCGGAATGAGATCAGAAAAAATAATAGTGCAGGTACTTTGAATTTGTTTCGGGTATAATATATTGAGAAGGTTCTAAATAGGTTCAACATGAGTGAGGAAAAATCAATTTGCAACTCCTTTGGTAGTGACTTTAAGCTAAGAAAGAATCGCCTAAATTTGAAGCAGAACAAGCACAGATGAAAAGAATCCCTTATGCTTCAGTTGTTGAAGATTTGATGTATGTGGTGATCTGTATAAGTCATATGTTACACATACAATGAGAGTGGTAAATGGGTACATGAGTAATTCAAGGAAACATCATTGAGAAGTGGTGAAACGCATTCTTAGATATTTCAGAAGAACAATCAATAATGTACTTTATTTTGGAGGTGCAAAGATAAACATACTGGAATATTTAGATTCAAATCTGGCAGAATGTATTGATGATAGAAGAAGTACAACATATTATATCTTCACATTAGATAACACAATAGCGAGTTGGGTTTTCAAGCTACAAAAGATAGTTAAACTTTCTACTACCGAAGTTGGCTACAAGACTTCATGGCAGAAATGAACAATGAGCAAAGAATTGGAAAATTTTATGTTGAAAGTATATGAGTGTATCCATCTAACTAAGAACACCACATTTCATGCAAGGACAAAGCACATATAGCTAATGTATCATATCATTCGTTCACTCCTACAAGACTACGGGTGTCAAAAATTAACCCGACAGACCAACACGACTCCAACTCAATTAGGGTTGACCGAATATTTTTAAGTCTGATTCAAGTCAGAGAATTCGACCCGTTTATTACTCGGGATGGATTCGGGTTGAACTCAAAAACCCAAACATGATCTGAATAAGCACAAAATTTTGGGTGGGGCTCGGGAGAGTGAGTCAAGCTCAAGTTTGAGTCGGATTCGGGTCTTAGTTTTTGATATGTTTATTATTCGATTCAAGTTCGAGTTGACTTGGGTCGGATCATTTTACCGGCCCGAACCCGACCCGCTGATATGAATTAACATCACTATATAAGATGATCAATTATATTTGAAAAAGATACACAACTCAGAATCTTGAATAGATATTAACTAAGGTTGTTACAACTCAGAAAGTAAAGTTATGCTTAGCTTTGGTAGGAGTTCAAGAAGGATGAGAGTGGAGGTTGAGCCACTATGTTCATTATTATGCATGATACAGATTGGAGGAGAAAAATTGATTGTAATCAATCTCCAAGTAGGAGATTATTATGTGTCGAGTCTGATTGTGGGGAAAAAAAACTGATAGTAGAAAGGAGAGGAAACCCCGGGTTCGATGAGGTGGTTTGGTGCGTGGTGTGGTGTCTAAGCACCTAGCATACCCTTTTCGAAAGGGAGGCAGGAAACCTGGCACCTAGAGAAGAACCAAGGCACTCTGCGCAAGTCATTTATTGAATCCAAGAGCAAGGAAATGTAGCAGCCAAGAGGGGCGCAGCTACGACAAGTTTCCTCCCTAGACCTAAGCGCCTGAAAACTCTGTGTTCAAGGCTGGCGCTTCGACGCCAAGAACTGTTTCTAGCAGTTAGGAACCTAAATCTTCAATTTCGTTATGAATTAGTTTGTGTGCACTAATGTTGGATTTCACGAGTCCTCTTGTGAAGGAGGTAGAAAGGAGTGTTCATGAGTTCCAAGAGTGTACAATGTAAATTCTCCTAATTTTCTTATAATAAATTTCTTGGTGTGTTACAGAACAGAGATTTTTTCCGTTGTCGAGTTTTCCCACATTAAGTACTGGTGTTCTCTGCATTTTTTGTGTTATATTTCTTTATCTTTATGTTCTAAATATTATATCGAACCTCTCGAATCAGTTTCCGAGATTTCCGCACAATAGGATATGAGCTCAAGGACCCACTCTACCTAAATTACCTGAAACTACCATTGGCTTTAGGCAGATTTTTTGGCTCATAGCTTAGGTGATGTTATACAATTGATATTAAGATGGGATTGGATTTCGGTGAATTCAGACCATCTTTGATGGTAAACTAATAAATATTCTTATACTGTAAAGAACTAAGTGTCATTTTCTGTTTTTAAAGGGTGACAAAAGCCACTACAAAGGAAAAAAACCATCATAACAAATACAAGCCATCAGCGGGTGTGGAATGGGTCACCCAGCCCTTACATGCTCCTTCAAAGACATTAACATTTGTACCCTGAATGTAGCTAGCAGTTTAAACTTTCCCCATGCCAAACTATATAAAATGACTCTAATTCTTGAAAGAGCATAAGAGATCCTTGCTTAGAAGATGTGTTTCTTGTCCCTGAACATTAAGAAACAAATGGTCGAAGAATGGTCGAAGAATGGTCGAAGAATGGAAGTCTCCCTCAATTCTAAAACCAAATTTTGGTAACTATACGTAGATGATTAGCCTGATCCCCTCCCAAGTATCACAGAGCTCGACTAGTAGAGCAAATTTCATTCAAAAGGTACAACTAGAGCCTGTATTAGGTGACTCCACTAAGCAAAAGTTAATGCCACCTACCCATTCTAGGCCATTACGACTGGTGACTCGTCAAAAGCCCATCCAACAGAATATGTCTAATTTGATAGGGCTGTAGGGTTGAACTGGTGTTTAAAGCTAATGGAATCTTCATTTTCACCTTAATATATACGATTCATAACAACTCTATAAAATCAGCAAAGAGACAAAGACATGATGAATGAAGAAGTGCAATATCAGTAATGAGGCAACAACAACAGTCAATCACTATAAACGAGAAGCTTGCAAGATAGATTCTAAAGAAATTGTTCTGATATTTCTAAGGTGCAAAAGTTTGAGGACTAATCTAAAATCAACATGGATGTTTGACAAGAGTATGGAGGCAGAGTGGTAGCAATTTTGCAAGTCATTTAGTTAAAAACCTTAGATGCTAGATACAACACAAACAACCACACTATATCACAAGCTCAACCCAAAAAAAAAAGTAAGGTGCTGGAAAAGAAATAAATCATTATCTTCATCAATAAATACATTTCCTTCAATGTACAAGTCACTGAAAAGAAATAGGCATTTCTCTTAATAGCATAATTTCAGTCATCACAAATAACATTTAGTCTAGATGATAAATTTCCTAATTTTATTACACTCTGAAGTTCAAAAACCGTGCTAAGGAGCTTATTCAATATGAATACCCATGTAAACCACCGACCTCCCCATAATAGAATAGTTCTTTTGGTCCCCAAAAAATTCTAACAGCCAACTAACATGATTGAAAAAAGAAAGCTCAATCAAAAGAAATATATATAAGCTTGACAAACAACAATTTTGATTGAGGTATGACTGGGAAATTTTCCCATTTAACAACTACTCTCCCAATTTACATAAAGAGAACTCCTTAAGATCAGTAAGTAAGATAGGATGTTCTATCTTTTCAACATTTGATGATGGCTACACTTCCAAATCTCCATTTAGTATCACTGTACAAAAAATAGCTTTGAAGAATGAAGCTAAACAGCAACTGGAGGGAGACAGGACTTATGTAAATTTTTTTAATACTTAGTCATATCCAAAGGGTAGCAAGCATCTCAGAATAAACCATGACGGGTCACAATATGCTGTACACAAGGTAATAAATCAAAGTCCATTGAGATGGCAGTCAGTCCATGCAAAATTGTTTGTCCTAATTTCTAGAGAAAATAGAAAGGTATGTTCCTATCTATCATGTTATACATTATAGGTCCATAGATACTATTAGGATACTAAACCATAAATAGCTTGCAAATTGCAGTGTGAAATAAATAAGAACAAGAAAGGTCAAAATTAAGGCAAATGCTAAAAGGCAGACAAATAAAAACACGAGAAAAATGAAATCAAGCAAGCAAACCCCACTATGGTTACCTGCCATTCCTTCCTGAAACCATTGTTCAAGAAATCCATCCTGCGAATTGTCCATACATGCATCTTCAGCATCAGAAGCAAGTGCTCCCTGATATTCAGTTGAGCTACCATGTGACTTGGTACGTCCACCAATATCCTTAGTTGATAAAGCCACACCAGAATCCAGATTAGCAATCACCAGACCTGTCCCAATAACGTCATTTCCAGAGGGATGCTTAGGCTGATCTCTGGATTTTACCTGTGCCACAGCTTTCTCGCTGGCAAGAACAGAACTGATTATCAAGTTCCCATTGATCTCGACATGCTTTCCATTTCTTGGGACATACAGACAAGCAGGAAGACTCTCACTAGAATTCTGGGTAACCATGCGGCCACCAAAAGGCCATGGTTTGGCTTCTGATCCCACCTTTGCATTCTGAAAACACTTATCAACTCCACTTTTACTTTTTCTTCCATTATTGAAGCCGACCTCTTCAGAACTAGTCAAACTCCTAGTACGGCCACTAACACTCAGAACCATACCTTTAGGATAACCCAACAAACCATTTTTAACTGTAACTTCTCCAAAATCTCTGTTTTCTTGGTATCTATGATCTACTCTCCCTGTCAGACCTCCATATATCAATACAAAAAATAAAAACCCCAAAAGTGAAATGCTTGCCACCTTCCTAACTTTGTTTTCACGCTTCTTCTTCTCACATATCCCTGTCTTTTGGGAGGCTTCAGCTTGCTGGGACTTTAATTTGGGTATAGGAACCAGTGGAACTGGAGAAATCTGCTGCCTAAACACAAGCGGAGGATAAGGAGCCCAAGAAAAATGCGAGGAGGCAAAAGAAGGCGGAGGGTAAACACCAGGCGGAAAGCTACTACCACCCAACTGTTGCTTTAGACTCAGATTCTCCGCCATGATAAACGAGATCTTACTGTTCAATTCAGCGATCGTAGAGCTCATGGACCGAACCTTATCCTCCAGCTCCTCCACATACTCCTTCTTCCGCTGCCTCGAAAGCTGAGCGCTCTCCCGGTTCCTTATTAGTCTCGCCTTCTTCTTCTCCTCTTCCTCACTCACAGCGTTGGGCCTACATGACCCAAAATCCTCCAACCGCCGGGATTTGCTGCTTCTAGGGTTTATGTTAGTCTTACCGCTTCCCACCTCCCGCTTCTTTATTATCTTCGTCCCCCGCCCGTTCTCCTCCTCCCGCTTCACATCCGCGCTAGATTCTGTGGAACAGTCGGCGGAGCGGTCGGATTCAGGGGAAGTGATGTTGATGATGCCAGAGGTAGCTGGAGAGGAGGAGGAGGTCAACACTACAGATTCCGGCAGCCATCCGTCGCTCGATGTAGGAGAGGGATGAGATGGAGGGTTTGCGTTCTCGGGGAGGAGGAGATCGTCAACGGATATATCCCAATCAATGCCATCGAAATCAAAATCAAGATCAATTTCAGATGAAGGGCCGCCGCTGGGGAGGCACAGATCGTCCGGTAAGAAATGGGATTCGAGAAAGTCAGGGTTGAACGAAAGGCCGACTTGCGGGGAGAAGGGATCGGTGGCGGCAAACTCCGGCATGACTTTGGGCTTTAACGAGGCGGCCGATTACTTCTTGTGCACAATTCGCTGACGGAGCAAGGGAACGAGGATGGTTGAGAAGTTCCGCGTACTCCAATATCAATACTGGAGTCAGAAAAAAAGGGTGAAGTTTTTTTTCCGAAGTTGTAGAAAAACATGTATATCGGTTGCCGTAGTAGAAAATTGGGCAGAATATCACCAATAGAACTCCAATGTTGAGGATAAACATGTATCCCTGAATTAGAGTCTTAGGGCCCATTGGCCATTGGGTGGTGCATTTTGCCAGCAGCGCAGGTTCACGCCGCGGCTCTGGGTTGTTTGGGGGATTGTTTCGCCAGCAAAGTGGGGCATTTTTAATAAAATGCAGGTCGCGGGTTTGACCCCATGGCCTGTGTTTCATCTCTTCAAGATTACTCCGTTGTGATTCGATTTTGTTCTTCGCGTTCATCTTCTGCCCTAACCTTCCCCACTGAGGTCTCGCTTCCTTTACACTAACCTCTCATTTCTGTCGTCTTCTTCCTTTGATATCTTCTTTCTCTATCTTTTTTTGGTGGATTTGCACCTATTTTTTTTTGAATGTTTTGGTTTCTCGTTTCTGTCCTCGGTAGCTTAATGGCTCAGTTGTGGGCTCCCGATTTTGATGTTTTTGATGGATTTGAGCGACTTTGATATTTTTTGGAGAGTTTGTGAAGTGATGATGATAATGGAAGTTGTGGATGACGTGATGATGTAGTTGATGTTGGGGATGGTGATGTCAATGTGGTCGGAGGGGTTGTAGATGGTGGTGTTGGTATTTCTATTTGTTGTGAATTTGAAAAGAATAGTAGGTTGTGGCTTGTGTGTTGGTTTCTGTTAGGTTGTCTGTCGGCTTTGGGGAATATATGTGTGTGTGTGTGTGTGTGTTGGCTTTGCATTGTGTTGTGGCTCTGGCTTGAGGTGGTGATTGTGGCTTGAGGTAGTGGTTGTGGCTTGGGGTGACAGTTTTTTACTGTGGCTTGGGGTAGTGGTTGTGGCTTAAAGTGGTGGCTATGGCTTGGTGTGGATGTGGGTTGGGGTGATTTTTTTTGTTGTGGCTTAGGGTTGTGGTTGTGGCTTTGGGTGAGGGTTTTCTAACCATGGCTTGGGGTGATAGTTGTGGAATGGGAGTCTTGGGCTGTGGCTTGGGGTGATAGTTGTGGAATGGGAGTTTTGGGCTGTGGCTTGGGGTGATGGATTTTGGTTGTGGATTGGAGTGGTGGTTGTGGCTTAGGGTGGTGGTCATGGGTTGGGGTGATGGTTTTTTTCTATGGCTTGGAGTGGTGGTTTGGGCATGGGGTAAGGGAATTGTGGTTGTGTGACACATCATAAAATTACTTATTTTATATGTGCATTTCGTGTTTTTTTTTAAGGATGTTACGCGTTAATAAAAGATATTGTGTGTGTTTTTGATTTCATATACAAGAAATGGAGTTTAAGAGCAAAAGTAGTAAATTTGGAGCAAAAATAGGTCAAATGGAGCTAAAGAACAAAAATTGATTTGGCACATAGTCGCCAAGACGTTCTAGAAGGTCGGTACCTAGGCGCCATGGTTGGGCGCCTGGGCACCAGAAACTGTTTGGCTTATATTCATTGTAAGTGGAGGAATTTTGAAAAAGTGTCGGAAGTGGCCCTTAGTGATTTTCAGAACTTTATTAATAGGAAAGATTTCGAAACAAAAAGAGATTTATTTTTGGGTAGTTTTGACCACAATTGGAGCGGGTGATCGCCATAGTGAGAGTGTTGTGAGTCTTTGTGATTGTGAGTGTTTGTTGAGTCTTGTATGAGACTTGTGGAGTCCAGATCAGTCACGAAACTTCAGAGGATTGCTTGGAGAAGATTTTGAGATAAATATTTGTACTTTTTTAAGTTTTATCTTGTAAATTTGATTTTTAATATATATCATATTTTGTTTTTTTATCCTCGTGAATTTTGAATAATTTTCTTATTTTTCTCCTTGCAATGAGAAGTAATCATGTGTGGGGATAGAATGTTTTAAAGATGTCTTTTATTCCATAAATTTGTGATGGTTTTCTCACTGATTCTTAATTTACTTTACAAACTGGTCATTTATGATGCTAAAATTCATTGCGTAACATAATGACCCGAGAGGGCTATGATTTCTCCCAACTAGTGAGTCCACACTAAACCTTGGATGGAGGGGAGTCAACTCCAACGGGGAGTGCAAATAAATAGAGAAATAAGTTTTGTAGGTGTAGAATTGATGATTATAAAGTGATAGGCTAGAACTTTTATGAATTTGGTCTTTAATTTGGAACCTGAGGCTTGGTTGGTCCTAATAAAGAGGGTACAATGTGTAATCTGGAAGTGAGAGGCTAGAATGTACTCAGCACAACCATATCAATCAGGAATTTAACTTTAGATTATCCAATGTTCTTTTTTGCATTCAAGAGAGGGTAAAAAATAGGTATGCTCCTATTTTTCACAAAACCTCATTTTTAAGCATTTGATTCATACATGGATTACAATCTCTTTGCAAAAGGAAAGACTTTTTATTATAATCGTATTTCTTTGCACATTTGTAGTTAAGCAAATTTGCATTTACTTTTATCTTTAATTCAAAATCAGTAAACTTTAGTTTATAAGGTTACAAACAGTTTGATATTATTCTCCTACAAATTTCGTTTACAGCTTAAGTAGAAATATTTCTAAGTTGACATAGAATATCACTTATTCCCTGTGAGTTCGATATTGGGATTTTTAAAGAAAATATTATATTACTTGAAATGATACACATACTTACATAGTGTCCATAGTGTGTAAGTCATTAATCAATTTTGTAACATATTTATTTTGCACACTAGTCGCTGAATATAAATTTGGTCAAATTTTTCGCCATCTTTCAGAACTTAATTAATTGTGCAATTGCGGGTCGGGTCAAGTTTTTGGTGTCATTGTCAAGGACTACCAAAATTTTTAACTTAGAGATTTTTATTTGATTGTAGATTTATTTTAGGAGAATTGAATTTTTATTTTTTTATTAATATTTTTTTATTTCTGGAAAAAGAAGAAAACAAAAAAAAATAATTTAAAAAATTGAAAATTGAAAAAATAAAAAATATCTATCTTTATTTTGAGTGTTTTATTTTACTTTTATTTCCTAACTTTTTAATTTTGCATACGTAGTTTGAGATCTGAACATTTAGTGTCTTGTGATTCTGAGTTAGAATGAACCATAAGAAAAAAATCAAAAACAAAAGAACTTCACGATTCTCAAAAAAAATAACACACATATCACAAAATTATTTTCATAATCAAACTATTGAAAATGAACATCATAATAGACAAACAACTTTAAAAGGACTATGCAAACCCTACAACAAATGAATTTCACTTTAGCATAGAAACTTCTAGTGTAGCTGTTAATTCATTTGAACTTCAGCTTAATATTATCCAAATTATCAAAATAATCAGTTTGGGAGAACACCATATGAGGATCCAAACTTACACCTTGTAAGTTTTTTAGAACTATGTGCTACATTTAAATATGATTGTGAATCAAACAATTCTATTAGACTTGAACTTTTTTTCTTTTTCTTAAGAAATAAAGCTAAGTTGTGGTTAAACTCATTAGCACTTAGATCTATTAGAACTTAGGGATCTATTAGAACTTAGGGAGAAACTTAGGGAGAATTAGCACAAAAATTCTTAGCTAAGTATTTTCTACCTTAAAAAATTGTTAAGCTTAGAAATGATATTGCCTCATTTACTCAGTATGAAGGCTAGTCAATATACAAAGCTTGGGAATGATTTAAGGAACTCCTCAGGAGGTGTCTGCATCATGCCTTGTCGGACTGGTTAATTTTATTATGGGTCAGTAGGATCCCTTAGAATTATTATTTATATTGTTGCTAGAGGTTCATTAATGTCAAAACCATTTGATGAAACTTATGATTGAAGAAATGACTATGAACAATTTTTAATGACCCTTTGAAAGGGTAAATCCTAAGAAACTAGTCGATGTTCATGATAATAATGTAATTTCTATATTGCATCTCAAGTTACTACGATATCTAGAAAGATAGATCAATTTGGAATGAACTTTTCTCAAACACCTCATGAAGTAGAAGAGAATTCATTAGGACAGATGATTGATTATCAACCATCATTAAAGACTTTAAATGCAATTAATAATAGACCTAATAATAGACCTAATAACCCAATTAATAATAGACCTAATAACCCATATTCTAACTATTACAACCCAAGTTGGAAAAACCACCCTAAATCTAACTAGAATAATAATTTTGGTGGCAGAAATCAGTAATGGGAGAACAATCAAGCAAACCCATTTGGAAATTGGAACAACATTGTAGTATTAGACCCGCCAGGAAGGCCAAGAAATAGATGTTTTTAGTTATTTTGTTGAGATTTTCATACCTATTTTACATC